GTGTGTGTGTGTGTGTGTGTGTGTGTGTGTGTGTGAGTGTGAGAGAGGGAGAGAGAGAGAGAGAGAATACGTGTGTATTTACTCACACAAGGTGTAGTCATTGTAAACTTAAAACAAAGAAACTCCATCCTGAATTCTTGCATGGAATAAAATTCAACAAAGATTTTAGGAAATCCTATCAGTTCAGCCACTTCTGATGTAAAGCTTGACTCCTAACCCATTTTAATCTCTTTTATTATTATTTGTTCTTATTGACAAGACATGTTGACTATTCCCTGTGTGGGTCGGTATACGCGTGTGCGTCTGTGTGCACGCTGAGCTGTGAGTGTGCGTGAACGTTGCGTACGTGTTGAGGTGAGAAAACAACCCAACGTGTGTAGATTTAGGAGAGACACAGACTTAACAGGTGAAGGTCAGACACTACTTCAATAAAACTAACTGGTGTAGTCTTCTGTCCTCTGGAGAGCCTGCTCTGGTCATTGTGAACATTTTTGTTACTGGTTTCATTTTGACTAAACCTGCTGTTGTTGTTGATGTATGGCGATGAGCTTCCTGCCAGCCACAGTGCCCATTCTGTTTCACTGCCCGCTCTTTAACCACACGGGGGCATTGCAACATCTCGGTGGGGGGAAAAAACACCGCCGTTTGAAACCACAGAATCATGGACGCGCTGTGACGAAGAGCACAAAGTTGAGCGAACTCTTCCAGAATCCCTCCCTTCCCCCACACCTCAGACGGACATTTAAGGCGAATGCTCGTTCTTGTGTTTTTGTTCTGTGACTTGTGTTCGTAGGATGTGTGTTTGTATGACTGAGATGTTCACATTCTGGCTAATTAGGACTTTAAATTATGTGTTACGGCGAATTTGCCTGCATTAGAAATGACAAAAGGGCGTATTTCCAGTTGCCAACTGAAGGTGATGGTGAGGGAAAATGTGTAAATAATTAGTTTATCCAATTGACGATCTTTGTGTTTCCCATTTTTTGTTAAACAAAACAAACCCTGTATGATAACGAGAAGTGTCCTGATGCCCAGTGGATGACCTCTGATTTAGCATGTTTTCACTGCTGGGGTTAAGATGTCTGACCTGATTTAGAAACGGTATCAGCCAAGAGGCCTTACAACTTCTCATTATAGTTTGGATTCGTTTGCACCCCAGCTTCAGCAGCACAGGCCACCCCGTCCTTGTGATCACGCACACAGCAGCGTGCAGGAG